GCCATGAAGCTGATCTGGTGTGTCTTTCTTGTGCTGCCTGGTCTGAGCAGAGGTATTGTATCAGAGTTTCTGCTGTTGTTCCTCGGGTGTGTCAGGATGTTCTTAATGTCTCCGTCCAGATTCTCAGTGTTAATGTTGCTGCTGCTGTTACTAACCTCAGTGAAGCGGTAATAAATCTGTTGATGGGTGTTTTTATTAAGACTGGGTTAGCAGACTCCAACATACCAGCAGTCTGGCCCTGCACCATTCTTGTGTAGAGCTTCTTCTGTGTTTGTCAAATCCTGGAGTGGATCAAACTGGTGTGTGGGGGAATGTGTTTGAATACACTGTAAAGCCTGGAGTGGATTAGACTGCTGTGCAGTGGGAGTGTGTTTGAGAACACTGTAAAGTTCGGACTGGATCAGATTGCTATGTAGTGTGGTTGTGTTTGAGAACACTGTAGCCTAGAGTAGATCAGACAGACAGAGCAGTGTAAATCCTGGAGCGGATCAGACACCAGGGTAACACCCCTACTCTTTTTGAGAAACGCCCACAGAGAGTCAGGACCTTGGTTTTACATCCCATCCGAAGGACGGCGCCTGTTTACAGTATAGTGTCCCCGTCACTATAGTGGGGCATTAGAACCTACACAAGCCACAGGGTGAGCGCCCCCTACTGGCTACTAACACCTCTTCCAGGTTGCTCTTCCAGCAGGGGCCTTAGTTTTTCCCAGGAGGTCTCCTATCCAGGTACTGACCAGGCTCACACCTGCTGGGCTTCAGTGGGCTGCCAGCTGTGAGTTGCAGATTGATGTGGCTGCTGCAGACGAACAGTGAGAGTATCTGGGGAGTGAGAGTTTGCTCTGGGGGTGCAGGAGGTGTCAGTGTGTAGGGGTGGGTGTGCCTTTGCGGGCTGGTGTTGGGCGGTGCTGTGTCTTGTGTCCTGGGCCTCAGTACTGTAGTGAGTTTTCTCAGTTCTTTGAGGAGCTGTTCTCTCTGTGAGCTGTAGCTCTTTTCTTGCCTCAGCTACTTCAGATTGCATCAGAATAACAAAAAGCTGCAGCT